CTACACAACTAGATAAAGACCCAGGCTGCTCCCACCTATAAAGTTTCCCTTTTAGAAAGCCCTGGGAAATGTAGAAAACTGACTGCTTGAGTGACCCCACTTTTCTCTTCCCAGACCCTAATTCCTGCTCTTACGTTTTAAATTTGCCAATAAAGAGTGAACCTGCCAAACCCTGGACACCCCATCCTCATCCCCAATAAAGACAGAATTCGCAGTCCCCCATCCCACCCTGCGACCTCACTGTGTGGCTCTGGATGTGCCACGTACCCTCCAGGATCTATGAGTAATAAACCTGTTTTTTCAAAGTTCCCTCATGGTTGTTGCGGAGTTAAGTCTTGCAGTCATAATAAGAACCACAGGGCTGGTCCAGCCACAACACGGCTCTGGAGAACTGTCTGTGGGGGCTTGCTAGAAGTAGGTGAGTGTCCCAGGCATTCCTAGCTGATAGCATCACTATTAATGACCTGAGACTGACACAAAACACTCACTATTGTTACAATGTCAATTTCTCCCCAAATTGATCTATAGATTCAACATATTCCCAATAAAAAAAAAATCTCAGCAGGCTTTTTTGGTAGAAATTGTTAAGTTGGTTCTAAAATATATACAGAAATGCAAAGAGCAGAGTAGCCAAAATAATTATGAAAAAGAACAAAAAAATCTGGAGGGCTTAAACTATCTGATTTTAGGACTTAATATAAAAATCTTTTATAATCAAGACAGTGCAGTATTCAATGGAACAAAACAGAGACCACAAATAGTCCAAAAAACATATGGCCAAATATCTTTCAATACAACTGTCAAGGCAATGGGATAGGACAATCTTTTCAACAAATGATGCCGGAATAATTGGACATCCATATGCTAAACTCTGTAAAAACTTTACACCATGTACAAAAATTAACTCAAAATGGATCACAGATCAGGGGCGCCTGACTGGCTCAGTCAGTAGAGCATGTGACTCTTGATCTCAGGGTCATGAGTTCAAGCCCCATGTTGGGCATGGAGCCTACTCTAAAGAAAAAAAAAAGATCATAGATCTAAATGTATGAGTTAGAACTGTGAAATATCTACAACTGCCTTGCTCAATACAGTAGCATGTGGCTACTGAGCACTTGAAATGTAGCTTCTATAGATTTAGATGTGCTGTAAGTATAAAATACACATCAAATTTTAAAGACCAAGTACCAAAAAAAAGAATGTAAAATATTTCATCACTGAATTTTTATATCACTTAGATGTTGAAATGGTATTACTTAAAGATATTAGGTTACATATATCATATTATTAGAATTAAGTTCACCTTTTTAAAAGATTTTGGCTGCTAAAAAATTTTAAATTACGTATGTGTCTTACATATTTATTTAACAGTGCTGGCCTAGAGGTAAACATAGGAGAAAGTCTTACTGACCTTGCAAAGATTTTTTTTTAAATAGGGCATGAGAAGCATGAATTACAAGAGAAAAAAAATTATAAACTAGATTCTTCAAAATTAAAAACTTTTTTTTTTTTAAAGGTTTTTATTTATTTATTTGAGAGAGAGAGAGAGAGCAAGAGTGTGGGGGGGGCAGAGGCAGAGGGAGAAGCAGACTCCCCACTGAGCAGGGAACCCGACATGGGACTCGATCCCAGGACCCTGAGCTCATGACCTGAGCCGAAGGCAGACATTTAAGCAACTGAGCCACCCAGGTGCCCCAAAACTTTTGCTTTTTAAAAACTACCATTAAGAAAGTGAAGGGACAAGGGACGTGGGTGGGGGATAGGCTAGATGGGTAATGGGGATTAAGGAGGGCACTTGTTATGATGAGCACCGGGTGTTATATGTAAGTGATGAATCACTAAGTTCTACTCCTGAAACCAATATTACACTGTTTGTTAACTAACTAGAATTTAAATAAAAGTTTGGAAAGAAAAAATAATTAAAAAAAGAAAAGAAAATGGGTCACCTGGGTGGCTCAGTTGGTTAAGCATCTGTCTTCAGCTCAGGTCATGATCCCAGAGTCCTGGGATCAAGCCCCAAGTCAGGCGCTCAGCCCAGTGGGGAGTCTGCTTCTCCCTCTGCCCCTCCCCCTGCTCATGCTCTCTCTTGCTCTCTCTCTCTCTAATAAAAAATAAAATCTTAAAAAAATAAAAATAAAAAAAGAAAAGAAAATGAAGAGACAAGCCAGAGTCACAGCCACAGACTGGGAGAAATATTTGCCAACCATTTGTCTGATAAATGATTTGTAGTCAGAATACATAAAGAACTCTAACAACTCAATAATAAGAAACCAAATTACCTAATTGTAAATAGGGCAAAAGACTTGCAGAAACTTCATCAAAAAAAGATATGGATGGCAAGCAGTCACAGGAAAAAGATACTCAACATCATTAGACATTAGGCAAACACAAATTAAAACCAAAATGAATTACCACTTCATATCCACTAGAATGGTTAAAATTAAAATGACTGTTGATACTGAATGTTGATGAGGATGCAGAACAACTGGAATTCTATTACATTGCTGGGGGAATGCAAAATGGTAGAGCCGTTTTTAAAATGTTTGGCAGTTTGTTGGGGCGCCTGGGTGGCTCAGTTGGTTAAGCGACTGCCTTCGGCTCAGGTCATGATCCTGGAGTCCCGGGATCGAGTCCCGCATCGGACTCCCCGCTCGGCAGGGAGTCTGCTTCTCCCTCTGACCCTCTTCCCTCTCGTGCTCTCTGTCTCTCATTCTCTCTCTCTCAAAAAAAAAAACTTTAAAAAAAAAACAAATAAATAAATAAAATGTTTGGCAGTTTGTTAGACATACATGTATCATATGACACAGCAATTCCATAAAAACACATGTCCACACAAAGACTTGTATAAGAATGTTCACTGCAACTTTATTCATATTTGCCCCAAACTGGAAAGACCTCAAATGTCCGTCAACTGGTGAATGGAAAGACAAATTATGGTAGATCCATATAGTGAAATACTACTCAGCAATAAAAAGGAACTATCTGATGACACATACAACATGAAAAAAATCTTAAAAACATTATGCTAAGAGAAAGAATTCAGACACAAAAGACTACATGTTATACGATTTCATTTATATGAAATTCTAGAAAAGGAATTTCTGTAGTGTTAAGTAAATCAGTAGTTTCCAAGAGTAAGGGGCTGGAGCGGTGGATTGACTAAAAATATAAATGAGGGAACTTTTTGGGGTGATGGAAATGCCCTATACTATGATTCTATGATTGTAGGGATGGCTATAAAACTCTAGAACTATACACTTGGTGATTTTATTGTAGGTAAAATATACTGTGACAAAGCTGACCAAAACAAACAAACAGACCAACATAAAGCACAGTTTCTGATTCCTAAGAACTTGCATTTCTAACAATTCCTATCAAATTCCCAGATGACACTGATGCTGCTGTTCCTGGGACCTCACTTGGAGACCCCTTGTCTAGAGACACTGCCAAAAGGGGTCTAGAATAAGCTGAGATCATCCTAATTCTTGCCCATTCTGTGTCGCCACCTAGCACTCCTATCTTCAAGAGGACAGACACTCCAGAAACACTGCAGCTTCTCATACCTCCTGAAGGCCTGGTGCTTTCAGAATGAACTAGAAGTCCTTTGGGAGTAAATTGAAGCACCTCAGGATCAGAAGCAAATTTGACCTGTCAACATATCCCATTTAACAGACCAGGACACCTGCCCTGGAACAGAGCTCACACCCACAGGCCTTTGCTCATATTGTTCTTTTGTCCTGAAAGACCTTTCCCTGACCTCAGCTGCTGAAGCTGCACTTATTCTCAGCCCATTCCAAATGGTATTTCCCCCACCGAACCATATGGAATACTTCCTTTCCTACATGTTCTCACTGACATTCATGTGTTCCTTCATTATAGTGCTCATATCTAGTCCTACGTATGTAGCTTAATAAATGTCTATAGAGAATCAAACCAATTAATAATTGAAGGAATTTTTAAGATTTTATTTATTTATTTGTCAGAGAGAGAGGCAGAGCACAAGCAGGAGAGCGGCAGGCAGAGGGAGAAGCAGGCTCCCCGCTGAGCAGGGAGCCCGATGTGGGACTCGATCCCAGGACCCTGGGATCATGACCTGAGCTGAAGGCAGACGCTTAACGAATGAGCCACCCAGGCATCCCTCTAATTGAAGGAATTATTAACAGCAGGAATACCTAGAAAACAAAGGCATTTAAAGATGCCACTCATAGTTTTTTTGTTAGTCCTTTTTCTCTGGGAGTTTCTCTCTCTCCTTCTGTGATAATAAGCCTGATTAGTCCTTGTAGTGCTGGTTGGGACAACTCCACCGACTGGCCCTAGGGGTGGGCTCAGGACTTAGGTTTGACCAGTCGGGAGTCTTTCCTCCTCCGAGCTCCAGCTCTGGGTTCATGATGGGAACACTGCCCAACCCAGACCAACCAGATATCTTCCCAGTGTTCTTGCCAGAACCAGGCAGAGAAGTTTACACCTGAAGTCTTTACATATAATTAAAGACGCAAAGATGGTAGACAAGGAAAATTATTACGCAACACTCATCACAATGACCCAGGCCACTGTGTGGTGATCCTTACAGCACCCAAAATAACATGAGAGAAAGGCACAAAGGCAATATTAAAGACAACTTACAAATCTGGCCAATCACTGAAGACTGAAGACTCTGGGTTATGTTGGATTAGCTAAGAAGGCACCTTTGGGCCAAACATAGAAGGTAAAGGGCACAACCCTTAGACCTTCTCCAGGCTTTAGCACCAACAGATGAAGCTTACTCAAGGGTCAAAAGAGAATGATGTCCAAAAGAACTAATACCAGAAACCAGCGAAAGGTGAATGGAAGCAAGAGATGTGCATGTGTCCATGAGATGAACATCAATGGGCTTCAGAGGACTCTGCAGGAAGTGTGCCCTAGTAGCTAGCAACATGAGCTCCCGAAGTGAGAGGACAAGGGATGCACTAATCCTTCAGGAGGTGATTCTCAGGAAAGGAGCGGCACAGGGATGTGCTCACCTGCGTGATTATGCGCTCTCCATCCTTATAGACCTTCTCTCCTATTACATCCACAATCTTCATTCGTTCCGACACCTGAAACAATGGACATACTCATAAACTACAAGGAAAAGACCTCAATTGAAAGTCACAAATAATATCTAAACAACACAGAAGTGGGTTAGAATAGTCCAATTTGAAAACTTAATAAATTACTTTGAAATATTAAATCTCCATAAACACTCTTATTCAAATACGCTTTACCTCTAGTGATTTAAGGAGAGGCACAGATTCAATAAATGATTCAAACATCCTTCTCTTTTTTGCATTGTTTTTCACTATGATTCTTCTAAAAGTCACACGGTCCTACAAGAAAGAACACGAAAATTCTGGTAAATGCCTCTGTAAGAGAACACCAATGATTTAATTAACTGGATGACAGCAAAAATTAGAGGACTATGGAATGTACTGGGCCAACTGAGTGTTTAATGACATTTTAATCTGAGTCACCTCTGGAAGAGAAAGACTGGTAACCTGTGTCAGACAGATGTCCCCGGGGGAACTGCTTGCTATCTATACTCCATGAGCGCCACCTATGGGTCATAAACAGAATACAAAATACAGAACTCCCAAACACTTGCAAGCTCCCAGTCACTGTTCAATGTGAAAAGATGCACCTTTGAAAAAAAGAGATAAAACAATCAGAGGGCTCTTGCCCTGAAGGACTTTACAGTCTCAATGGGGAGACAATACAAAATATACGGGAATAAAAAATCTACAGTTCAAGACAGCATATGAAATGTGCTAGGTGAACGATAAAAACAAGAAGAGTTAAGTGCCACAAGAATTCTGAGGAGGGAGAGAGAGAGATCACAGTAGGCTGGAGTGATCAAGGATATTTTTGTTGCAAAAATATAAATTTTGGGGGTGCCTGGGTGGCTCAGTCGGTTAAGTGTCTGCCTTCGGCTTAGGTCGTGCTCCCAGGGTCCTGGGATCGAGCCCCGCATCGGGCTCCCTGCTCCGCGGGGAGTCTGCTTCTCCCTCTCCCTCTGCCGCTCTTCCTGCTTGTGCTCTGTCTCTCTGTCAAATAAATAAATAAAATCTTTAAAAAAATTTTTGGTGGGGTGCCTGGGTGGCTCACAGTTGATTAAGTGTCCAACTCTTTTTTTTTTTTTAAAGATTTTATTTACATATTTGACAGAGAGAGACACAGTGAGAGAGGGAACACAAGCAGGGGGAGTGGGAGAGGGAGAAGCAGGCTTCCCATGGAGCGTGATCTCAGCTCAGGTCTTGATCTCAGGGTCATGAGCTCAAGCCCCATGTTGCGTTCCACACTGGGTGTGGAGCCTACTTAAAAAACAAATACATAAATATATATGTGTATAATATATATAAGTAATATAAGTATTATATATATAAATATTTATTTAAAATTTAATATAACTTTTAAAAAATATAAATTTGGGGGTACCTAAGGGAGGGGGAGGATTTAAATTAATGGAAAGAGAGGGGAGGAAACTCAAGATGGAAGGCAGGAATGTGAAAGGTCCCTTGGCCCCAGCAAGTCATGGATTCACATCAGGAGACAGCTAACCAGAGCTACAGTCAGGCCCCCCTCAGATATGTGTACATATGTGTGGGGAAGGACACACACAGACAGGAGAATGTTAATTGCTTAGTTTTAGGTTTCTTGTAGCTAAGTTAATTGCACCTTTTGTCCACCTCAGGCTGTCAGGGGTGGAAAGGTGTTTGTTTTTTTTCCTTTGAAAGCACATAATGAAATCCTCAACGCTGGCAGAATGAAACAGCAAGGTAAGGACATGTTTAACTGTAAGTTTGCTATTGTGCTAGTGGAGTAGAGAAATCCCATAGAAGACAACCGAGTTGAGATGTCCAAATGGGTTTCACTGGCTCATATTCCATTAGCTACAGAATTCCCAGCCCCTATCCCATACCATGTTTTATCTGCCTTACTAGATAAGTCACTTACTACACCCTATAACAGAAGACTCCAACCCTCCCCGTGAACTGCTGTAGAAATCATCTGCTCTTCAGCACAGAGCCAGATTCTGCTCCATTTCTTCTCCCTCTGTCTGCTTGAAAAGAGCCATTCGATCTGATTGCTCTAATGGGGCTGCATGATTTGCCACTACTTTTTTAAAGTCCAAGGTTAGAGATGTATCATTTAAAATGTTACTGTTATACTTTGGAATGTTATTCCATTATCTTTAGAATTCAGTTTCTACATGTTTTCTGGGCCAATCTAGGCATGAATGCTATAGAAAGAGGACAATCAAAAGTGAGAAAATGAGAATTATAAAGTTCTCTTCCTTCTATTTGAGTAGGCATTATCAAAAAATATTCTAAAAATCCCTCTACAATGTCACAAAGATTGCTACAATTGCAATAGCAAACTATTTCTAGCTGAAGAGAAAACAACTGGTATCTCCCAAAGTGACAAATTTATTAATGTTCCAACCCTTTCTATGCAGACTTCCACCCTTCCCAGAGCTCTCACGCTGAGCAAGGCCAGCCCCTGTGGTTGTGGAGGGCATGGAAAAGCAGCGGATCTTAACCCAGCTTTCAGGGAGCTTCCAATGGAGCTGTGAAGAGGAAACTCCCACTGTGAAGTAGTGGCTCCTTCAGGCAGCAAGTGTTCAGAGTCAAGCATAACAGCCTGAGGGTTCAAAAGAGAAAAGGAACACTACACTTTCCTGTGATTGCAAGCGTTTCCTAAGAAAGTTTCTATTGACTTTCACTTTTGCCAAGAGAGAACGGGAGCAGAGACTGAGTGTTAGCGGTCATGGTGGCGGCTGCCCCCAGTAAGAGAAGGAATGTAGGATCCAATTTGAGAAACTCAAATGACAACACCAAGTCCTCCCTGCTTTGGCCTCAGAAGGCATTTCCAAGGCCTTGGAAGGTACAAGAAGTCAGGCTGTGGAGGAGCCTCTTGGAGTCACTTTCTTGGAAGCGGTACTAAAGCACATGAACAAAGCAGGAGAAAAACAGAGGCCAGAAGGGCATATTGATAGGATGCTTAAGAGAGCAGGGAAAGGAAGAAAAGATTGCAAAAGATCAGGCTAGGAAGCAGAAAGACAAGGCAGGGATCTCAGGAGAGGGAGCTTCAGGAAGAGAATGGTGATAAGCAGCACCACAACCATGGAGAGCAGGTGTCCCATTCTGTAATCCCCTCCCTTTCTTCAGACCCCAAGGGAGCTTGCCTCCCTTATGTCTATCTATTGAATTCTCATACCCCAACCATGGGGCAGGTGGTTTTACAGTTCAATTTGTTAAAAAAATTCTATTGTGACTTTGACTTACAAATTCTTTAGGAATGTGCTATTTAATTTCCAAGTGTTTGGAGATTTTCCTGTTACCTCTCTGTTACGGATTTCTGGATTTATTCCATTGTGTTTAGAGAATACACAGTATGATTTCAATTCTTTTAAATTTGTTAAGCTTTATTTTATATGCCAGGATACAGTCTATCTTGGTGAATGTTCCATGGGCCTGAAAAGAATGGGTACTCTACTGTTGTTGTATGGAATGTTCTATAAATTTCAATTAGATCTTTTTGGCTGATGGTTAAGTTCTTCTATATCCTTCCTGATTTTCTAATTGTTCCACCAACTCTTGAGAGAGGAGTGTTAAAGTCTGCAACTATAACTGTGGATTTGTCTATTTCTTCTTTCAGTTCTATCAGTTTTTGCTTCACATATTTTGAAGCTCTGTTGTTTGCTGTATACATAATTTAGGGCTGCTATGTGTCTTCTTGGTAGATTAACGCTTTCATTATTATGTAATGTTCCTCTTTGTCCCTGGTCACTTTCTTTGCTAGGAAGTCTATCTTATCTGATATTAATATAATTACTCTTGCTTTCTTCTGGTTAATGTTTGCATGGTATATATATAATTCTGTATTTTTACTTTGAACCTACCTATATCATTATGTTTGAGTGAGTTTGGTGCAGATAGAATAGAGTTGGGTCATCTAAAAAAATCCATGTGACTTGTCTCTGTCATTTAGTTGGTATAATTAGATTATATTTACAGTAATTATTCATATATTAGGGCCTACATCTACCACTTTACTATATGTTTTCTGCTGTTCCTGCTTTTTGTTCCTCCATTTCATTTTCCTGTATTCCTATGGTTTACCTGAACACTTTTCAGAATTTTGATTTATAGAGCTTTTGAATACATCCCTTTGTACAGATTATTTTAATGGTTGCTCTAGGTTATACTGATATATGTAACTTATCACAATCTACTGATGTCAACATTTTAGTAGTTGGAATAAAGTGTAGAAACTTTACTTCCATTTGGGTCCCTTTACTCCCTCCTTTAGACCATAATTTTCTTAAATATTTCCTCTATATACACTGAGAACCACATCAGACAATAATTTTGCTTTTTTTTTTTTTTTAAAGATTTTATTTATTTATTTGACAGAGAGAGACACAGTGAGAGAGGGAACACAAGCAGGGGGAGCGGGAGAGGGAGAAGCAGGCTTCCCGCTGAGCAGGGAGCCCGATGAGGGGCTCGATCCCAGGATCCCGAGATCATGACCTGAGCCAAAGGCAGACGCTTAATGACTGAGCCACCCAGGCACCCCAATAATTTTGCTTTAAGCATCTAACACAATTTAGAAAACTCAAGGGGATAGTCTTTTATATCTCCCCATACTTTTTCTGTTGTTCTTTCTTCATTCTTCATGTTTCAATTTTCCTTTTTTTATCACTTTCTTTCTGTTTAAAGAACTTTCTTTTGCCATTTTTTTTAAGGTAGGCCTGCTGGTAACAAAGTCTCTTAGTTTTCTTTGATCTGAGAATATCTTCATCCCTGCAGGATATTCTAACTAGGTATAGAATTCTGAGCTGATAGTTATGTTTTTTTTCAACATTGACAAATGCTGTGCCACTTGTTCTGGACTCTATGGCCAGGAAAGCCGGTATCATTCAAACTGTCATTCCCTTAGAGGTAATGCATTTTTTTCTCTCCAGTAGCTTTTGAAATTTTTCATGTCTAGTTTTCTGAAGTTTGATTATGTGTCTTGCCATAGATTTCTTTGTGTTTATACAATTTGGGGTTCACTCAGCTTTTTCAATCTGTAGTTTTATCTTTCACCAAATCTGGGAAGTTTTCAACTATTATTTCTTTGAAGAATCTTTTAGTTCTATACTCTTTCTCCTCTCCTTCTGGGATTCTATCGATACAAATATTCCATCTTTTGTTATTATCCCACACACTCTGTTCACTTCATTTCAGTCTGTTTTCTTTCTGTTGTCCAGAGTGGGTAATTTCTATTGTTCTACCTTCAAGTTCACAGATATTTTTCCTCTCTCATATTCATTCTGCTATTGAGCCCATCCAGTGAGTTATTTTGGTTATTATATTTTCCAGTTCTAAAATTTCCCATTTGGATCTTCTTTCTGTCTTCTATTTCTCCATTGAGACCTTCTATTTTTTTCTTCATTTTTTTTCAAGTGTGTCCATAATTGCTTGTTGATGGCTTATGTTCTTGGTTATATGAGAACTGCTTGAAACCCTTGTCAGTTAATTGCAATATCTGTGTCATCTTGGTATTGGCATCTGTTGATTGTCTTTTCTCACTCAGGTTGAGAATTTCCTTGTTCTTTGTATTAACAAGTGATTTTTTAAAAAAGATTTTATTTATTTATTTGAGAGAGAGAGAGAGTGAACAAGAGAGAGCATGAGCAGGGGCAGGGAGGGGCAGAGGGAGAGGGAGAAGTAGGCTCCCACTGAGCAGGGAGCCTGATATGGGGCTCAATCCCAGGACCCCAGGATCACGACCTGAGCAAAGGCAGACACCTAACTGACTAAGCCACCCAGGCGCCCAACAAGTTGTTTTCTATTGTCCCTCTGACATTTGGGCTATTATGTTGTGAATTATGTATCCAATTTAATCTTCTTCTTTTGCAGGCACTCTATTAGGCATAGTGTGCATGTACATGTTGGAGTGAATGTTCAGCTCCCCTCTGGACCCCAATGACACAACCCTGGCAGGGAAAGTGGAGTGCCAATTAGTGACACTACATATCATCTCATTTTGCCTCTTTGCTGCTGGGTGAGGCTGTAAGTTCAGCTTGCTGCTAGCCGCAGTGACACTGTGGGGAGGAAGAAACAGTTTTTCCTTTGGTAGTTGGCTGGAATAGGGTGATATTATCTGTTCTGCAAGGCTGCCCTTTTCCTGGTCCTTTAGCTAAAGGGGTCAGGGTTTCCTTAGGGTTGTTTTTGTATGTACTTGGTTGGTGGATCTAGGTTGTAGGCTTTTCCCGAATGTCATCTGGGACTCACTCTCTAGTCCTTCTTTAAGTCCCAAGATCCCTAGCCATTCCACCTTCTCTTTTCCATCTTCCAGGGTCTTCCTAAGTTTGTTTATTGTATGATATCTGGACTTTCTTAGTTTTAAGAGAGAAAACTAGTGAGGAATGGAGCTATTCCATCTTGACCTGGACCAGTAGTTGTTATCAATATTTTTTTAAAGTTGGCTCCACGCCCAATGTGGGACTCGAACTCACAACCTTGATATCAAGAGTCACACGCTCTACTGACTGAGCCAGCTAGGTGCCCTGCGTCAATACATTTTAAAACTGAGTTTATTTTCCCCCATTACTTATTGATCTATGATCTAACCTTGAGTTTTTTTTTTTTTTTTTTTTTAGAGACAGAGAGATAGACGGAAAGTGAGTGAGCATGTGAGCGGGGAGTGGGGGCGGGCAGAGGGAGAGAGAGAATCTTAAGCAAGGCGTGGAGCCTGATCTCATAACCCTGAGCTGAAATCAAGAGTCGGATGCTCAACCAACTGAGCCACCCAGGTGCCCCATCCTTGAGTTTTTCAATCACTAGGGTTCCCCCAAGTGTGTGATCTATTCTTAAGGCATTATATCTCCCATTTCTCAAGACGTTCTTAGTTCTACATCAATATATCACAGGAAAGTGCTCTAATATGTCTTTAAACTGTGATTTCATTTGAGGAACTATATTGATAATGCTACGGTATACATTTAATTCTGCTTATAAAGCAAATGGAAACAAATTATCACAGATGTTAGTATCTTAAAAGTGAAATTTGGAATTTGTACAAGAGGATAATTATTTTGTTTAAGAAGGAAGACAGTTATAGATTTTGAAGGCTTGATGCTGAAGGAAGCAAGGTGGACCATGGGTAATGCAGGAAAGGGATCACAGTCGTGCTGTGCCACAGACACTCTAGGAAAGTTCTCTTTCCCAGGATATGGCCATCAGCCCTTCTAGTCATCTAAACCTATTGGATATTGGCATGGGCTGATGCACAAGTGGATGTCTGTCCATAAAGAGAACTTAGTTCTGGGACAGCTAGAGATGGAAAACACTGTTGGCAGAGCTTTCTATGATAACTATTTTTCTAGGCTGCCTCTTATATAGAGAATTATCCCCTTTGTCTCTACCTGTCTGATAAAAACATAAACAGGAAGCGTAATAAGAACTGACATGCCTATAAGGTCATAAGACTCAGTCCTTCCCCTGCAATTTGGAATAAGTGGTTTGTTGACAAATCGTTTTAGAGAAATGGAAAAACACATTGGTACAAGATGTTTCATAATGTCTTTCAGAGAACTAGCTATAAAATAGAGCATGAACCAAGATCCCAAGGACAGAAAACCCTGAAGTAAGGGGACTTAACACTATGCCACACAAGGGGACGCATTTCTCTAACTCACCAGTCCCCAGAGGGAGCCTTCTGAGGTGGCGACAATGGTAGCAGCTCTCGGGGTGTTGTACATCAGAGCGAGTTCTCCAAAACTGCCATGGTTGTCGTACTGGCCAACAGAGCGAGTTTGATTATCTTTTGTTACTAAAATATCATAGGTTCCCCTGGAAGTATAACAAGAAATAATTTCATTTATTACTTCTAATAACAAATTTTAGACCTGGCATGTGGTACAGAAATAGAAGGTACATATGATATAAAACAGGCAATTTCCAAAAGATTTTTGCTAGTATACAGAAATATAATAGACTTTTGCATTTTGACTTTGTATTCTGTGACCTTGCTAAACTCACTTATCAGTTCTAGTAGCTTCTTTGTAGCTTGGGGTTTTCTAGGGAGGAGCATGTCATCAGCAAACAAAGACAGTCTCACTTTTTCTTTTCTAATCTATATGCCCTCCCTTCCTTCCTCCCTCTTTTCCTTCTCCTTCTTTTTTCATTGCTTTATTGCATTGGCTGGACCTACAGTATAATACTGAGTAGAAGTAATGAGAGCAGATATCCCTGTCTTGTTCTTGATCTTACGGGGAAAAGAGTCAATCTTTCACCACTAATTATGATGTTGGCCATAGGTTTGTTTTTTTTTTTTTAAAGATTTTATTTATTTATCAGAGAGAGAGAGAGAGAGACAGAGGCAGGCAGAGGGAGAAGCAGGCTCCTTGCTCAGCAAGGAGCCCGATGTGGGGCTCGATCCCAGGACCTTGGGATCATGACCTGAGCCGAAGGCAGCCGCTTAACTGACTGAGCCACCCAGGCGTCCCTTGGCCATAGGTTTTTAAAAAAATTCCTTTAATCCGATTGGTGAAAAACCACATCTATTCCTAGTTTGCTGAGAGTTTTTACACTGAAAAGGTGTTGAATTTTGTCAAATGCTTTTCCTGAAGGGATTGAAATGACTGTATGGGTCTTCTTTTGTAGTTTGTTGAAAACTAGGATATAGAACTGATTAAAATAAAGAAACCAAAAGGTACAATATTCTACCTATTGACTGGTAATTAATGCTAAAGAATAATATTCAGAACTGACAAACATTTAGAGAAACAGGCACTCTCGATACATCACTGAGGCAAACTTAAATATATCAATGTCTCTGCAAGATAATTAACAACATATAACAAATTCCTTAAAGAGACCCTTTTACTAGTGACACAATTTCTAGGCATTCTATAGGAGATAATCTGGTGAAGGTGATTCCTTTCAGGTCTGAGGGGGGGTCAGAAGGAGCCACCAAGATGATATTAACGGCTCAAGAGCTTATGACACACTAAGGCCAGCAGGTCAAACCCACGTATTTTATGTCTCCCAACATGTCTTACACCTGGAACAGAGCCAGAAGGGGCCAGCGACATGGAAGTTGAGGCAGTGTATTCATGTGTAAAATTAGGCTGGGACTGAAAGATCCAGATGACAATAGAGCAAAATGGTTTATGAAATCAATTCACTTGAACACTGGCAAATAACATGTTTACGAAGCACATCCTTCACATCTTGCCTAACTGTAAAGGAGACTTTTTAGTATTGATAATGGGTTGTACTGAGAACTCAGGTCAGCAGCACTAGACAGAGGGGGCAGGCTATGGACAGAGAGGGACAAGCTTTTTTTTCCTTTCTTTTTTTTTTTTTTGATGTCTTTTTATTAAGAGAAGTTCTTGGGGTGCCTGGGTGGCTCAGTCAGTTAAGTGCCCAACTCTTTTTCCCCCTTTTAAAAATTTTTTATTTTTATTTAAATTCAATTAATTAACATATAATGTATTATTAGTTTCAGAGGTAGAGGTCAGTGATTCATCAGTCTTATTTAATACCCAGTGCTCATTACCTCACATGCCCTCCTTAATATCCATCACCCAGTTATCTCTTCACCCAGCAACCCTGTTTCCTATGATTAAGAGTCTCTTATGGTTTGTCTCCCTCTCTGATTTTGTCTTGTTTTATTTTTTCCTCTCTTTCCCCATGACCCTCTATTTTGTTTCTTAAATTCCACATATGAGTGAGGAGAGGGACAAGCTTTAAGAAGCTTGTACACCTGGTCCTAAGTCCTCTCTCGGCTGAACAAAGCATAGGGTAAAGTACATGCCCTGCATCATGAATCTCATTAAGTGTAGCCACACATCTGCAAAGCTCCATCTCCTACCGTTCTATGACATAAAAGTTGTCTCCATCATCTCCTTGGTCAATGACATGCTCATCAACTTTGACCGTCCTTTCAAACATGGCATCAAGGACTTGAGAAAGTTGTTCCTGCAGGGTATACACACAAATAGAAAAGAAGGCTTTTACATTTGCTGGGGGAAAAAATGATTACGCTTATCTCACTTTGTGACTACATAGTGGAAATACATATATTAGACTGTTCTCCATATTCAAGCAAAATCCTTAAGCTATCTGAAACAAATGTTTTCCTCTGACCATTCAGCTTTGTACCTCCATGTACACAGCACAGTTGCCAAGTATTCTGAGGCAGTACTGCTTTAAAAAAAAAAAAATCCCATAATTTATGCAAAAAGAGGTATCTAAATCATGGCGCCCATTCTCCTAGTCACACCCACACGACTGTCAGTCAGGTGCCTTGATGGCTCCACTATGTCATCTGTAAAGCCATGCAATGCCAGCTTCCTACAGGTGTTGATCTTAACAGGATCATCAAATCTAAATGGCTGGGATGGACTTAGAAGTTACCTCACAGAGCAGCACAGCAACTGCTCTGACTAGCCACGCACATCACTTAACTCTCTGAGCCTCAGTTAATTCACATTTTAAAAAGGGTTTAATAGTTTCTATGTCACTGATTTTCATGGCTAAAAAAGAAAAATCTAAGGAAAGTATCACACAACAGGAACTCAAAAATTGAGATCTATTATTGGACAGCTACTATTGCTTCAAACATTTATATACAACACATACAATTACTTACTTATCATCACCTGCTATAACCAGAAGGTATCTAACTGTACTGGTAAGTATAGTGAAAACAAAACAATGCTATTAAATTCTAACAAAACAGTGGTCTCAGTCTAGGGCCAGCATCCCTCTGTCAGGGAGGGAGATCAGTGACTGTCAGGGGGCACTAACAAATACCAGCTTCAGTTCAAAGAAAGACTTTCTCCTTGGAGGAATGTGCGCTGAAGATGTGGCAAGGAAAAATTTTATTGTTGCATAATTCCATGTGATTTAGTGTCTGTCAGTGTGACTGTGCTACCTAAAATAACTGAGTATCACTAAAAGCATCTCTTTAATTCCACAGTTCCATGTGTGTTGAATACTGTACAAGCTGACAAATACTAAAAAGGAAGTGCTATTCATGTGCATTCTACATTCACATGGAATGTAAGCCCAGTGTTGCCAGAAATCTCATGTTTAAATATAGGTAACAATTCAAATTTTCATGTACAATACAGACCAAACCACACACTAGCTGTAACTGGCCTGTGGGCTGTCCACTGGCAGCCTCTCATCCTGAGTAACTCTTCTTCTGGTCTGGACTCTTCAAAAACATCAGTGTCATGAGATACAGAATAAGGTGTAAGGGGAGGATTCTAGGCTGGAGATGACTAAAATGACACCATGACAACCAAAGGCAACATGTAATTCAGGAATGAAAAACAAAACAAAAAAGCTGTAGAGAACTTTACTGGGAAAATCTGGATACGGAGTGGGTGTTAGATAACATTATTGCATCACTGTTAATAATGGTTTTGTGCTAATGTAGAATATCCTCATTCTTGCAAAATACATCTTAAGGTATTTAGTGGCTAAGAATCAAGATGTCTTAAACATATTCATAAATGGCTCAGGACAAAAGAAAAAAGCAGTTCATATATACTTACATGTGTGTACATACACATACAAAAGAAAGTAAATGTGACAAAATGTTAATTGGTCAGTCTAGGTAAGGGTACATGAGTGTTCATGGCACTATTCTTTTGACTATTCTGTAAATTTGAAAACTTAAAACCAGAAATTTGGGAAATAAATTTTTATTTTATTTATGTATTTTTATTTCTATTTTTTTAAGTAAGCTTTAACCCAACGTAGGTGTAAATAAATTTTTAAAAACTGAAACAAATACACTCACCAGAATGGTTAAAATTTTAAAAGACAGACAGTATCAAATGTTGGTAAGGATATGGAGCAACTGGGAATCGCATATATTGTTGAAGGAATGCAAAACAGTACAACTGCTTTGAAAAAGATCTGGCGGATTTTTATAAAATCAAACATATACCTACCCTATGACTCAGCCATTTAGCCCTCAGATATTTTACTGAAGAGAAATGGAAAAAAAAAGTTCACAGAAAGACTTGTACAGGGCGCCTGGGTGGCTCAGTCGTTAAGCGTCTGCCTTCAGCTCGGGTCATGATCCCAGGGTCCTGGGATCGAGTCCCACATCAGGCTCCCCGCTCAGCGGGAAGCCTGCTTCTCCCTCTCCCACTCCCCCTGCTTGTGTTCCCTCTCTCGCTGTGTCTCTCTCTGTCAAATAAATAAATAAAATCTTTAAAAAAAAAAAAAAAGACTTGTACAAAATGCCCACAGCATTATTCATAAGAGCTAAAAACAAGAAATAGACCCAGTATCCATCAACAGGAAAAAAAAAAACGGATAAGCAAACTAGTATTTTCATATAATGGCACACTACTCAGCAACAAAAAGGAATGAACTAACATCACCAGCAATAAGGCATCCTGACATCACAGACCCCTTGATATGATGCTCTGAGAAAGACAATATAATTTCTGTAGCAGTCAGGCCAAGAATGTATGTATATCCATATTCCAGTCATGAAACATCAGACAAATCCAAACTGAGGTACATTCTATAAAATAACGAAACAGTACTCTTCAAGGTGTCAAGATTATGAAACACCAGAAGGGACTGAAAACCACGACAGCCTGAAGAGAAAGAACTAAATGCAATGTGGGATTCTGGATTGGATCCTTAACCAGAAAAAAAGGAAATATAAGTGAGAAAATGGGTGAAATCCCAATAAGGTTTGTAGTTTAACTAATAGTATTATAACAATGTTATTTTCCTGGTTTTGCTCACTGTCCTATGGTTATGTTAAGATGTGAATCCTGGGGGAAGCTGGATGAAGGGTATATGGGAACTCTGTACTGTTTTTGCAGCTTTCCTGTCAGTCTAAAACTAATTCAAAATAAAAAGTGAAAAAGGAAAAGGAATGAACTACTGATACCTGGAACAGGGATGAACCTCAAAAACTGTGCTAAGTGAAAGGAGTCTCACACAAAAGAGTGCATACCATGTGATTCCATTTATATGAAACCCTAGGAGAGGCAAAATTAATTTATTGTAGAATAAATCAAAATAGTAGTTGCTTCTAAGAGGAGGCAAGAATTGATCACAAGGGGGCATGAGGGAATTTTCTGGGGTGGTGGCAATGTTCCATAACTTGTTAGGGAATTTGGGTTACCCAAGTGTATACATTTCTCAAATCTCAGTGAACTCACTTAAAATTTAGACATTTCATTGTATACAAACTTTGTATCAAAAGACTATGAACAGGACAAACAGCTCCAGGATATGCATGCCAAAGTATGGTATCTGCAACTTACTCTGAAATGAACCCCAAAAAGTAAGATGGGTTAATGCAGGGGCCAGCAAACAGCTGCTTGTTTTTGTAAATAATGTTTTACTGGAACACAGCCACACCCTTTCATTTATGTATCGTCTGTGGCTGCTTTCCTGCTACAATAACAGAGTTGAGTAGTTGTGACAGACATATTTACTACCTTGTTCTTTAAGAAAAAATTTACCGACCCCTTTGCTGAAAGATGGGTAGATGGCATATAACAGCAAGCACAGTAAAACGTTAATCATAGAATCAAGGCAGTGGATGACTGTGTGTTCCACAGAAGTCTTTCAATTTTGTTGTATTTGAGTATTTTCACGACAAAATGTTAGAAAAAAAATCATTACATCTGACATTTTAGTTATAAATAAAATGGTAAAATGGTTTTCTTCAATACTAAGAAAACTCTGAATATTAGATTGACATAGCAACTGCCCTTAGAACATCTGATGATATAAAATTTACAAGGGGTTTTGTTCAGTAGGTAAAAGCAAGCCTTCTTTCCATTGATACAGATGGATCTTCTAGGGAAAAGAGGAGACACAGACCAGTATTTCTCACAACCAGCCTTTCCTTGAGGTCAGGGTCCTTGTTTTAGTCAGCCTGAGACTAATAAAACTGACTGAAGTTCTGGCTATTCTTATAACCACACAGCTACCAAACAGACTGGTTTATAGATCCCAGGGATGGTTGTGAAGATGTCATTTAAAGACTTATTTGCAGGAGCTGCGTAGTAGGGGAATTCTAATCCCATCCTTCTTGTCTCCGCACATTCTAGGATTCTCCGCCCAGTACCTCAGCTACTTATACAGCTTCAGCGTATGGCTCTCAAAGAAAAGAAGTAATGAAATTTGAAGATTCTCTGTCCTCATGAGGTAGCCCCTGCTCTCTATCTCCATCAAAGGAGGGAGGACAGGTCCAAGCATAGATCCCATACCAGAGCCCTGCTGACACACACCACTCCCCATGTCTGAGGTCTTTGCTGAGAAGTAATCACAAGAGATGCCCCACATCTAAGGCCTGAGAAGTCACAAACCTCCAGTGGGTTAACTGCTACCAGAGAAGAGAACTCCATAACTTGCATCTTTGGAGAAATTACTCTGCAGCATAAATTCAGACCCTCCAAACTAAGAGCCACGGTCATGCAAACCTGAACATTTCCTTTTAACATGACCAAGTTGCATGGTCCTCAAGTGGTATTTTCTTGGTGGAAGTACCAAAGCAATTCAGAGAAATACTAGAAGTCATCTGAAAAGCTCATTATGAGTTATGATGGGCAACACAATGCAAACATTTGTAGGTAAGATGAATCTAAAGTTTTATGCCTTATATGGCTTAGGCTAAGACGACAAAAACTGTTTAAATGACAAATAGGAGAAAAGCTGAAAGACAAAAATATTTTTAAAACCAATGTTACCTGATCAAGATTTTTGAAAAGGAGAATATCTTTGCAAGCTTCCTGAAGTCTGCATCTCTGTTGATCAGTTTTAGGATGAATCACCTGCCAATCCAAATGAAAGCAGGGAAATATTTTTATTCCATTTTAAAATTTGACTTTACTTACAGATCGGTAAATTTCTTTCTCCTAAAAAGTGGGGAAAATTAAGAGCATGTTTACTATGACTTTCATTCGATACAAATACCAAGCAGTGCCCTGATCACGGAGGGACACTGTGATGGGGGCAGAGCACTCACCTTGGGGCCACTGACTGTGTGACTTGCAGCAAGTCAGCTACCCCCTGGGAGCCTCAGCATCCTCATCCGTAAAGCAGAGGGCTATTGATTTGTTCATTCAACAGATACTAAGCATCTACTAGGTGCCAGGCACTGTTATACCTCTGGGGACATGGGAAATGCACAGGTCAAAATAACTGCGCTCATCCAGTAAATCTGTAAAATATGTTAGAGAGTGACAAGGCTAAGGAGAAAATTAAGGTAGGGAAGGGTAATAAAAAAGTGTGTGTGTGTGGAGTGGGCGGATGAGGCCTCATTGAGAAGGTGACATTTGTGTAAAGATCTCAAGGAAATGAGGATGACCTGAGGGAGTGAGTCATGTGGACGTCTCTATGGGAAGAGCACCTCAAGCAGAGGGAACAGTAAGTGAAAAAAGAAGGCCTTGTGGTAGGTGAAGAGCATGTCTGAGAAGAACCAGGAGATGGGTGTGACTCATGCAGAGCAAGGGTGAAAGATCAGGATGAGACCAAATTGGGGAGTTAGGTGAGGGTGATGCCCAAATCACAGATGGCATTGTAGGCCACAGAACTACAACTTTTCCCTAGCCATATGGGGCCATTTGAAGGCTCTGAGGAATTAAAAAGAACTAAAAAGATAAAAAATGTTTTTAAAGGCTAACACTGGCTACTGAGTGAAGAACAGCCTTGAGGGAAGCAAGAGTAGAAGCCAGGAAACTACTGTGATTATTCCAGTGCCAGATGGTGGTGGTCAGGACTGGGGTGGTAGCCACGGAGGTGTTGACAAGTAGTAGAGTGCTGGATATGTTTTGAAGACCAAGCCCATCAGATTTGCTGGAAAACTGAATGTAGGTGTGAAAAAAATAAGAGGAGCTGAGGGTGACCCTCAAGTTTTGGACCTGAGCCCTTGGAAGGATGGAGCTGCCATGAACTGAGCTGGGGAAGACTATGGGTGGAGAAGAATGTTTAAAGGGAAATAATCAGGAGCTCACATTCAGTGTGAGTTGCCTATTGAAATCTAAGTGCAGATGGCAAGTAAACAACAGCTGTACATGCTGGAGTCCAAACATCAGTTTAGTAGTAGTACTGGTGGAATCTACTAAATTAGAGTTGTCAGAAGGATTAAATAAGTTAATACATGCAGTATTTAAAACAGTACCTGGAGAAGATGTGGTATATATACACAATGGAATATTATGCAGCCATCAAAAGGAATGAGATCTTGCCATTTGCAATGACGTGGATGGA